GCGGCCGCGCCTCGGAGCCGCGCGCTGCCCGTCGTGCGGAGGAGGAGGACGGGTCCTGCGGGCCGCTGGTGTCGCCGCGCCGCCTCTTCATGGAGGCCAGCGCGGCGGCCGAGGCGGTGGAGGGCGCGGACAGCACGCCCAGCCCCCGCCCCGGGCGCGGCGGCGAGGGCGGCGAGGGCGGCGAGGGCATTGAGCGCGAGGCCTCGCAGCGCATGGAGGAGGTGGAGGCGGCGGTGCGCGCGGCCGAGGCCGACGAGTGGGCCAGCGAGGGCGGCGCGCCGGTCGTGCCCTCCGTCATCCCCCCCGGGCTCCTACGGCGGCGGCGGCACGCCGGGCGGGGCCGCCGGCCGCGCGCCCTCGTCCTCGACGTCCTCGTCGGCGCGGGAGCACCTGAGGTGGCGCCGCGCGCTGTACCCCGCCGGCCGCATCCTGCACCTCGTTCCCGCCCGCCTGGTGCCACTAGACGAGGCGGGGTTCGAGGTGCTGTTCCCCGAGCGGCGAGCCGGCCAGGCTGCGCATGCCGAGGAGGGAGCCGGTGGCATGGGCGGCGAGGGCGGGGGTGGGAGCGGCGACGGCCCGGACCCGACGTCGCGCGGCCGGGGGCGAGCGGGGGAAACAGACGCGCGCGCGTCGCCTGCGGGGCCGGACGACGCTGATGCCGCGGCGCGCTCCCCCTCCCCCGACCCCTTCTCCGCCGGCCCTGCCCTGGCCTCCACCAGCCCTCCAGGTTGCCTCACCCCCCCCCCGCCCAAGGACCTCCCTCCCAAAACCGGCGCCACCGCCACCAACCCCGCCCTCCGCGCCGTCCAGCCGCGGGAGCCCATGATGCTTCTGGAGGCCGTGCCCCAGACCATGTACGGCCGCATCCGGCTGTGCCGCGACGTGCTCAGCGACCACATCATCCCAAACTACCTCGCTTCGCTGGACTCAGCGCTGGAGCGCCTGCCCCCGGCGTTCCACCCGGAGTGCGTGGCCCGGGCAGTGCACGCGCCGGCCTGGGATCCTCCCGTCGAGGAGGGGGAAGGATGTGGGCTGCCGGAGACGGTGGGGGTGCTGGAGCCCCTGATGGCATAGTCCATGGCCGGGCGGACGTGCCCAGGCACGCCGCAGGACCCTCGGCAACCGGTGCCCCTGGCCCGTGTCCACCCGGGACGGGGAAGTGGTGGTCGGCACCAGCCATGCATACATGGAGCGACGGGCTCGCTCCCCTGCTCTTCTCTCCACACCTTTGACCCCCCCTGCTGCTTGCAGTGAAATCATCCCATGTGTCCTCGCGCCTTCTGTGCGTGCTCCCCCGCCGCAGCACCTCCCCCTTTCGTCACGTCTCTGTGCCTCTCAACCCCCAAACGCTCGCTTGCTTGGCCCGCATGGCCTCCCTTCCAGGGCCCTGTTTCTCGCGACACCGACCCTGGGGTTCCCCGCACGCCCTTTCGATGGGCGACACTCCTGTGAACTCCCTGTACCATACCCCTGCCGCGGACCGCACCCTCGCATGTAACACCGTCCCCTGTCGACCCAGAGCGCGAGCAGCCTGGGCCATGGAGGTGGGGGGTCCGTCGACGCATGCCCGTCACCCCCATCACGCGACGGGCAAGCGCCTGCGCTTGCACCGCCTGTTCAGCGCCGGCGCCGCCTCTGCCCGCGCCTCCCTTTCCTCCTCCTCCTCGCTCAGCGCGGCGATGAGCTGGGGCGAGGCGTCCTCCATGACGTTGAACGCGTCGGCCGCGGCCCCCACGGCCTGCAGCACTCCCGACCCGTCGGCGGAGTGGTGCGTGTCCTGGGCCATGCCCGCCAGGTCCAGTACCGCTGCAGTACCGGAGCGCCGCGCCGTGCCCAGCTCCAGCGGGCCCAGGTCCAGCTCGGTCAGGCGCGCGCCGCCCAGCTTGCGCAGGAAGATCTGCTGGCCGGAGGTCAGCACCGTGTTGGATAGGTAGTACAGGGACAGGCCGGAGGGCACGCACAGCGCAAAGTAGCCAACCATGAGCGGGAGCAGCCGTGGGGGGTGGGGGGAAGGGGCCGAGAGGGGAGGTGACTTGGAAGGATTTGGAGGGAGGAAAGTGAGGAGTGAGGAGCAAGGCTAGAATTTCGGTTGACAACGTCAGATCGGTCGTGCATGGCGACCCTATTGCCCAGGTCATGTCAAAGCAGCATGCAGATGGCAGCCCCCACCAAACCTCACCCGATGATGATCTGCTGGGTGCGCGCGTTCTCGTTGTTCGGGTCCACCGGCGGAGAGATGATGGCAGTGGAGATGTACTGCATGGAAGTTGTGAGCCAGAGTGGAGAGGGTAGGGGTGGGGGGGTGCGGAGGCGTTGCAGGGATTAGCCATGTCGACAGAGTGAGCATGCAGCCGACCGGCAAAGCATACCACCCGCGAGGACGCCGAGGCAGCCGGGCACCATCGGCATGCCATCCTGAACACTTTATGTCCCTTGCGCGATGCACTCCGCCCAATCACCCCCAACCAAGCACCTGTGCGATGACCATGAGCACAGGGATGACTAGGTATCGTGAGGCCTCATCCCAGCCGATGGGCGGGTGCCCATCCACAAAGGGGTAGAGCCAGCTGATCCCCGTGCCTGCAGGCGAGTGGAAAGAGACGGATGGTGGAGGCCAGGGTCAGAGAGGGAGGAGGGGGGGGACGACATGCCGGGCTCCTGTACCCCGCAGCCCAGACCCCTCCTGTATCCCACGGCCCTGGTCCTGTGCAGGGACATGGACTCCCAACCCTTTCAGCGCAGGCCTTCAGCCCTGAGAACTCAGAAGCACCCACCTGCCCTCTGCGCCGCAACGGAGGTGGGCCCCGCCAGGGAGGGCACCCAGTAGAAACCCTGGTTGTCCAGCAGGCCCAGCGAGGCCACCCCCGTCAGCGAGCGGTACAGCCCGATGAAAACCGGGATGGTGGCCAAGGAGGGGAAGCACCCCGCCAGCGGGTTGATCTCCGCCTTCTTATACAGGGCCTGGGTCTCACGCTGCTGCGCCTTCTTGTCCTCCTTGTACTTGGCCTTGATGGCGTCCATGGCCGGCTTCAGGCGCTGCATGGACAGCGAGGCCTCGACCTGAGAATGCAGGGGGGGGGGAGGGGTTTGTCGGGCTGACAGGGGGCGTAGAGGCTGGCGGCAGACGTTGGGGGCTCTCGCGTACGTCGTCGCGCACGTGCGCAGGCCCATGCCCCTTTGTCCTGGATAATGCACCTCTTGATAGCTCAAAAATCCATGCATGCATGGAGCTGGGAGAATGCCTGCATCACTTCCCTGGAAACCTCACAGCCCTTCATCTTCCATTCCCATGTGCAGGAGACCTGAGATCGCTTCGATACACCTGATCCCCTGGCTCCACCCATCCCCCCCAACACACAACCCAGCAAATAATCACCTGCTTCTTGGTCAGGGGAAAGGTGCACAGCTTGACGACGGCGGTCAGGGCGACAATGGACCAGCCGAAGGAGTGGGGGACGTGCGCGGCCTCCAGCCCAGACTGGAAGGTCTGCAACAGGTACTCCAGGCCCTGCACCAGGGGCTCCAACAGGCCGTTGTCCTGCGCCACCGCGCGAGACGTGGCCGCAGCTGCCAGGTCCTCGGCCGCCCCGCTCAGGCCATGCACGCCCACTGAAGCGCAGGTGGTGGGCCTCTGGGGCAGCTGGGAAGGGCACCACCGCCCTGGTCTGCGATGGCGAGTGAAGGTGTCGGGGATCATGGCCCCGACTCGCGCACCTTCAACATGAGCATGCAGAAAAGGAAAATGGGTTAGGTCGCTTGAGCGAATCCGCCTCAAGCTCAAGCCATACCTGCAAACTCTTTCGAGGTTGTATCGGCGTATGCAGATGCCCAAAGTGGGTCTGGCGGTGAGGACAGGCTGCGGGAGCGAGCCCATGACGAGCCAGCGATGGAGCGCAGCAGTCGGGCTTTCAAGCTGGGCAGGGAGCGGTACCCATGAGCAAAGTCCAGCCCGCCTATATCTTAACACATTAATGCACTTCAGTGATGAGATACAAGCATGCAACACCTTTGCGTGCTCCTCTGCCTCAATCCGCCTCAGGGCGCCCATCTCCTGACGAGTTATCCCGAGTGCGCAATCTCCGAGATCGAAAACCGATGCCATGCAAAGAGCGATCAACGGGACCAAAACGGAAGAAGGAGATCATAACACCACTCCAGTGAGCTCATTGGCGCTGAAGATTCCATGTATGCATGCATTGCTCCTGCATCGCGAAGTGTGGTAGCATGAGGGGGTCCAGCACTCCCGCTGGGGTGCAGGCGGGGTGCCTACCCCCGGCCACCCGCCCGATCCCCAAATCTTCACGGCGCAGCCACACCCCGAGGCCTTTCCGCAACAGATATACGTGTAGGGCAGCCCTCGGCGCCTTTGGGGTGGCTGAGCTCGAGAGTCCTTTGGCCGCCCTCTCGGCTTTGGGGCTGGCAGTGGCAGGGTGGGATGGGGGTGGAAAGGGTGCGATGGATGTGGTGTGAGTCCCCTTTGGATCGAGGGAAAGCACTCTTGTCCTGTTATAATTCCAAGTGCAATGCCCAATGGGCTTTCCTGCTCTTCAGGCAATGTCCTGACACTGTTCCTCCTTGTTTAACGCCTCTGCGCAGCGTCTCCGCTCTGAAGCTTGTGGCGCACCTCAAATCCGAAGCCGAGATAGCCAGGCTGATTGCCAAGGTCCACAAAGTGGGGAATGATGAATCTGGACGGCCTGGTCACCTGGTGCAGATCGGAGGCAATGTCCGCAGCCTCTACTACTACCCCAGCAAAGCTTATGCCGCCATGACTGTTGTTGGCAAGGGCCTGGATCCGGGTGAGGGCTGACAAAGGTGCAGAGACCGGTGGTGTTTCCAGAGCCTTTGGCTGATGGGTTGGGAAGCTGCATTGCTCCACTGCATGACTGTTCCAATGATAGTCTTCCCTGTCCAATGCCCACAAATAGTCTGTCACATAGCCTCCCAATGCCTGTGGACAGTCATTTGGACGACAACGGCTGCAAAGAATAAGCTGCCACTCAAGGTCGAGAGCCAGGCCTCTGAGGTGACCGACCTCAGCTTCCTGCCAACATCCAGCATCGACAGCGTGGTGCTGCTGCCAGGCTGTGCACCCACTCCCGAGCTCATCGCCCAGGTGGGGAGTGTGTGCAGGGCTTGTCATGCTGACGGGACTGATGATTGGCAGTCAGGACCCACGATAACGGCTTGGCCCATGAAATAAATCCTGCTGGTGGAGGTTGCCCCCTGACCTTGTCCAGTGCCCTTACCCCATCGCCCATGAAAGGCCGCCTGACTCACCATCCATCGTTCCCTACCTGTGATCCCTGTTGCTGCTGTAGATTCTGAGGGCGCTGAAGCCAGGGGGTCGTCTGGGCTTGGCCCTTAGGGCCAAAGGGAAGGGTCCCATTCCATCTCTCCTCCAGGCACTTCCTCTGGGACCTGGGCCCCTCAAAGCAGACGAGCTGGAGCGCTACTTTCCGGACACTCAGTGGGAATTCATGGAGGCAGGGACCGCGAATGCGGGACTGGACCCCCTGGTTGTCGCACTGGCCTCCAAATCCATGCAGGTGGGCAGTGCGCCTGAGGCGCTGTGATGGTCAGCGACTGCGAGGGGGACTGAGTGTGGTGCCTTTCAGTTGCTGAGTCTTTTTCGTAAGGGTTGAAACTTCCCCGCACTAATAATTGGACATGGCGTCCATGGTGTTCTTGCTGTGCTCGTTTGCCAACACATCTGCCATTCTAGACAATGGGCTCTCCTGTCCTCCCTCACCTTGAGCACAGACTCGACCTCCTGTGGTTGAATCCGTCGACGCGTCAACCTTCCGAGAAGCTCAGAAGAGGCTGAAGAGAGAGCGTGCCAAGGCTGCAAAAGGCATGGGATAAGTTTACCATCGACATGCTTCATGCTAAATAGCTTTGATGGATCATGATGAGACCATGTCAGCGCGTTTCATTTGCAGCAGTGTACCCCTTGTGTGCTTTATCTGACAGGAAAGCGGGCACCGTTTAGCACAATCATGTCCCTATGTCAGAGATGGGTATTGAAATCCTCCCCTCATAAGCCTGTCCTGCTCACAGGGTAGTCACTGCGAACGTGAACACTCGCAGAATTTGAGACTGTCGCGCTTAGAGCCACGGACAGGGAGAGCAGGGCACCCCTCGCATGGTCGCTAGTGCCCCCGTGCGACTTAACAAAGATTTTGAGACTGGTGATGGGACCCGAGGAAGTTCAGTTGGTGGTTCCACGGGCTTAGGGACTCGCCGTCCGCCAGGAGCCTGACTCCCTGCCAAGTTCTTGCACAGCCAGGGGATCCGACACTGGACTCGGAGCGTTTCAACCAGCGTAATGGCTGCCTGAGATGCAGTCACGACTGGCGAATTGTTTGGAAGGCTGATTTCGGGCCAGCCAGGCCGTTGCTGGGCCTGACGGAGGGTGATGCAGCGCGTCAGGGTGTACCACTTGAATGAAAATGGACACTGGGACGACAAGGGCACGGGCGTCATCAAGGTGGAGACAGCAGAGGTGCGACATGCGCTGGGGATCCGATGTCGTGCTCCATGGGCTGGCGACCAGGGTGATGGTTCATCGGTGTGCACCTTGAAGCTCGTCTGTACGAGTGCCTCTCCCCGGCCTCATCGTCGACCAATGCTCCCCCCGCAGCACCCCACTTCCGATGTGCACCTCATCATCGAGGACGACACCGATGCATCCCGCCTGCTCAACCACACCGTCACCCAGGGCACCTCCTACCAGCGACAGAAGGGTGCGCGTCTTGGGATGTATGGTTGCGCAGGGAGATCAGAGGGCTGCAGGCATGTGCGTCGACCCCCTGTGCATCCCTGCATGTGGCTTGGATGCTGCGACAGGGGGCAATGTGACTGTGGGTGGCACACATCCGTGCAAACACTGTTTGTTCGCGCAGCGTTTGCATCCTACAAGCAGCTGCTCCAGCGTCGCCCCGCCCCTCACTCCGCAGACGACAGCATCATCTCCTGGACAGAGGCGTCCAGCGGCATCGAGATCGCGCTTTCTTTCCAGGAGGCGTTCACCTGCACGCAGGTGTGGGCCGAGATCCAGAGCGTCCAGGATGCGGGCCTGAGTCCTCGAGCTCAGGCTGCAAAACTGCAAGGTGCGTGTGTGGGGGTGCAGGAGGGGGGCTCCCTGTCGTCCGGCCACAGCACGGTCCCTCTGTGCAGGTTCACGCTGGGTCCTGGTCTGCCCATGGCCTCATGCCCGCCTGCAGCGACATGGTCTTGAGCCGTGTGGGTTGTTTCGTATGAGTGCTGCATCAGCTGGAGACTTGGGCCCGTCGGCAGGGTGGTGCTGCTGTGCACACTGCAGCACCAGCCCTGCCAAGCTTCCCCCACATTCGTCTGTCGCACCGTGTGCTGCCCTCGCATTCCCGAGCAGATCGGCAGTGGCGGACGGCGGGGGGGACGGAGGCCTATGACTCGGTGGCAGCCCACCACACCTACGAAGGCGAGGCCCGGGGGATGCACTCGGGCACAGTCCTACCCTGTCTTGGTGATCGCTGTGGCCGGCATGCTTGCAGGAGGGGCCCCTGGCTGCCTGTGTGGGCAAGGGTGCTGTCCGCAAGGGAGGTCACCGTTCCTTCAGGCTCGCTGACTCCGTACCCAGCCTGGCCTGGCCCTCTCACGTCATCTCAGCCCCCCTCCGGCTTCACCCTCTGTCGCGAGCAGAGTCTGCGGGGTTGATGCACGGCCCCCACCTCCCGCTGGGCCCCGGGCAGTCCCCTGCGGGCCAGGACCCCCCCCCCGAGACCGGCCCCTTCCCCGCGCACGGCGCCGACCTCCCCGCCGCGGAGCTGGGCAACCTGCCCGCCATCGCTCGGTCCCTGAGCGAGGCCTCGGTCTTCCAGCGCGAGCGCCTGGTGCACCAGCTCTCCGCCCCCGGCTATCTGGGCCGCCTGGTGGGCCTGTTTCGTGTGTGCGAGGACCTCGAGGAGGAGGAGTCGCTGGCGCAGCTGCACGTCGCGCTGCGCGCCGCCATCATGCTGAACGACGCCGGCCTGATCGAGGCGCTGCTGAGCGAGCCGCTGGTCATGGACGTGGTAGGCGCGCTGGAGTACGAGCCCGGGGTCGCGCCGGCGGCGCGTCCCCGCCACCGCGAGTGGCTGCGCGACCGCGCGCACCTGCGCGAGCCGGTGCCCATCGCCGACCCGGGCGTGCGCGCCAAGATCCACGACACCTACCGCCTGGGCTACGTGCGCGACGTGGTGATGCCGCGCTTCCTGGACGACGCGGTGCTGGCCACGCTGCGCTCCCTGGCCCTGTTCAACTCGGTGGAGGTGCTCATGGCCCTGGCGGCGGACGCCCACGCCTTCCCGGCCCTCTTCGACAAGCTGCGCGGCGCGAAGCCGGGGGGCGGCGACTGGGCGGACGGCGTCGGCTTCCTCCAGGAGCTGGCCTCCCTGGCCAAGCACCTGCAGGCCTCCCAGCGCACCACTCTGTTTGGCAAGCTGGCTGACCTCGGGCTGTTTGAGGTGGGAGAGGGTGGGGGGGGGGGGGAGTGTTGGAGGTATGCAGATGCTGCGGGAGGGTGGCGGCGTCGAGGAGTCCAAGGCATGCGGGAAGACCCTCGCGACGAGGCAAAACCCCCCGCTCCTGTACCGGCTCCATACGCATGCCTGCTCGCATGCAGTGCCCCTCCCCACACCCCCTCACCATTCTACAACTCCCGCCGACCAGCATCGCCGCCCCAACCCTCGCACCCCGCAGGTCATGATCCGGGTGCTGGAGCTGGGCGAGCCGGAGCTCCACCTGCGCGCCACCGACATCCTGCTGGTGGGGGCACTACACGACCCCAACCCCCTGCGCTCCTTCCTCCTCTCGGACCAGGGCGGGTGCCTCTTCCGCCTCCTCATCCAGGCATGTGCTGGGGCGCCGCGTTCAGGGGCGTCCGCGGGGGGTTGGGAATGTGGGTGGGTGGGGGAGGGGGGTGGACGGCGATGCCTTCCCAGTGCTCCTGAACATGCGGCCCGAGCAGCGAGGTTTGCTGTGGCCATCCTCGCCCAGCCCCCTGCGTGCCCTCTGTCGCCTTGCACCTCGTTATGATTGTCCAGCACCATCCCGAATCGCCCCCCCCGCCACACGCCAACCGCCCCTCCATGTTCTTGTACCCACCCCTCCCCCTCCCATCCATCCCCTGCACACAGTCCTTCATGCACGGTCGGGGCTGCGGCATGCAGGAGCAGGTGTTGGAGCTGCTGCGCATCCTGCTGGACCCCGACACCATGGATGCGTCCGTGGAGCGCGACGCCTTCATCGACTCCTTCTACGAGGCGCACGCGGGGACCCTGGTGGGCGCCCTGGTCGCCGCGACGAGGGGCGGCGGCGTGGCGGCAGAGAGCGCAGGTGCTGGCGCGGCGGGCGCGGGCGGGGAGGTGGCCGGGGGTGCCGCCGGCGCGCCTGACACCGCCGCAGGGGCGGCCGACACCGGCGACGCGCCGACGACCAGCGCACACACGCTGGGACTGATCGTGGAGCTGCTGTGCTACTGCGTGACGCAGCACTCCTACCGCATCAAGTACTACATCCTGCGCAACAACGTCGTCGAGAAGGTGTGTGTGTTGGTGTGAGAGTCTGGGAAAGGGGAATGGTCAGGTCAGAGGCCGTCACCTGGGGATGGAGCAGGCTCGCACGCCGTACACGGTGTGTGCACTGGCATGGGTCGGGAACCAGCATTGAATGGGTGATGCGTCGGTGCTCGATAATCGAGTCTGGGACCCCCTCCTGCCTGGGGTGTGCGGGGGGCCGTAGTCAGGGTGCAAGCCATGCTGGGGAGGCGATTGACACAAAGAGTAGGGAGGGGACCCCTTTGGATACAGAACAGGACTGGCATGGAGGCGGTCATCGAAAGGGTGCAAAGCCCTTCCCAGATCCCTGATCAGCCCCCACCTCAATGGCCTCGCAGGTGCTCCGGCTGCTGCACAGGAAGGAACGCTGGCTGGTCGTGGCTGCCATCCGCTTCCTACGCACCTGCCTGGGAATGAAGGTGCAGGCGTGGGGTGGGATGGAGGGCAAGGGGTGTAAGGAAGAGCATCCGTGATTGGGGCTCGTCCAGAGCGGACGCAGCCGGTGTAGGACTGCCAAGCAGGTTGTCCCCCCAAAGCACCACCTCGGCCCTCCCTCGCCCCTCAGGACGAGTTTTACAACCGGTACCTGGTGAAAAACGGGTTGCTGGAACCTGTCATCGCTGTGTTCCTGGAAAACGGCAATCGGTACAACCTGCTCAACTCTGTGGTGCTGGAGCTCTTTGAGTTCATGTGGAGGGTGAGTGGACCTTGCTGTGTCGGGTGCATGGCAGCCTGCTGCGTGGGTGTGAGTATGCCTGGTGCACGACAAGGTCTCACCTGCCTGATCGGGGTGAGGTTGACAGAGGGTGAGGGATGCTGTGCTTCAGGTCCAGCAGCGTCCATCCACTTGGTTGACACGAATCCATGTGGGGTTTGGCAAGCCCTGAGGGGCAGGCACTGCCGTGAGCCCAGATCTGATCCCCCCTATGTATCGCCGAGGCCTCTTCACCCAAGAAACTTCCTCCCTTCTTCCCATTCCCAACAGGAGAACATGAAGGGCCTGCTGGGGTACGTGGTGGAGAGCCCGAGGTGGCCAGAGCTCCAGGCCCTGGACTTTGCGCCCACATTCAGGAGGCTGTCGATGAAGCATGACCAGAACCAGGTGGTGTGCCGCCTGCGGCAGGAGGTCTTGTGTACCTGGGCTGCCTGTCCTATCCCTGGCTGTGGATGGGCTTTGAGCCTTGGTCATTGCTCGAAGAAACTCACCTTCGTAACCTCACACCAACAGGAACGGAGCACCGGCTCTGCGGCTGCGCCAGCGGGATCGGGCCCTGGCAGCGAGGCCGGGGGGGGAGTGTTCCTTGGGCATGCCCGGGCGGCAGCCGCCGCTCAGCAGCGGCGAATACGTGAGTGGGGTCAGGGAGAGGGGGAGGGGGAAAGGTGATCAGCCCCTGAGCTTCTGCATGGCATGTCCGAAGGACTGACATCTGTGCCGCAGGTGATCCTTGGTCCCAACAGCCGCATGTTGATCTGGTCGATTGGCCTTGGCAGGTCAAGCCTGGCGTGTTCCTCCAGGCAATCCTCTCCTCACACGCTCCCATCGACAACAGGCGGCGAAAAGGAGGAGGACGAGGACGAGGAGAACTACTTCAAGGATGACGAGGACGATGACCGGGGGGGCAGTGCCGCTGCTGCAGAAGTCTCCGAGGTGAGAGCGCTCAGGGATGCGCCGGCCTCCGTCTCGCCCAGCCCTGGCTCTCCGAGGGTGGTTGGCGCTTCCCCTCCCAGCAACGGTCTGCCACCCTTCCCCGGCCGCCTGGTGGACTATGACGACGATGACGACGATGCCCTGCCTCTGGGAGGTGAGCGCCGTGCATGCGACTGCCTGTGTGATGCAGGGTGTGCCCAGTGCAGGGACGGATTCAAAGACGCTCACGAGGGGGGGGCGGGGGGCAATGCAGCGGTGAGGGTTTTGTAGAGCCTTAATGCAGCACAGTATCCGCAAATATCTGTACCATGGTCCTCCCTGCCCCGTCCCCCATAGTTGTGCACCGAGGTGGGCCCGGTGGAAGGCGCGGCTCATCGCCCCCGCTTCAGAAGAGGTTCCGGCCGGCCAGCCCCTCCCAGTGACACCCAAACCAAGCTTCCTGACCACGCACAACGTGTCCTCTGCATTGTTTCTGGCTCCTCCCGTCTCATGCTCTTCGCCCCTGAACAGCTCCACGCTCTGTGAACGACGTACGATTACAGCCTGTGTGCCGCCCCCTCCTCAGGCTCAGGCAGCAATGTCGGGCACATGCACGTTGCGCAGGAGCCGGAAGGCAGGTCCGTACTGCAGCCCGCTCTCCCGCAGCTGGGCGTAGAGCTGGACAGTGTCGCGGGGCACCGTGGCACTCGCCCTCTGGGCATCGATGGTCCGCTCCGCCATCGTACGGTTCAGACGCTCCTGACGCTTCTTCTCCGTCTACAGGGGCGCGATGGTATGGGATTGGGGGATGCAAAAGCCGACCGGAAAGGAGTGTGCCCGCCTCAAGTGCCCACCCCGGCACTCACATGGTAGACCGACTTGATAAGTTCCTGGAAGGCATGATCGTCGTTGCCGAGCACGACCTCGGCAACCTCCGGCTCCTTCTCAATGGCCTCTAGTTTCGCGGGGTCGGCCTTCAGAGCTGCACGAAAAGCTGCGGGGTCCTTGGCAGTCCCATCGTCGTTCAACGCATAGGGATCCGACATCCTGTGCTGCAGTACAGGATGCACTGGAGGGGTGGAATGAAGGAGGACGTACTGACTGCGATCCACCTGCCAATGACGCTCGCGGAGTGGAGTTGCACGGTGCAAGGGCTCCTGCCCGAAGCGCATCCCGTGAGGTCCCGGTCAAAGCGGTCAAAGAAGTACCCCCCACGGTACCGCCCAGCAAAATTTGAATAGTTGACATGTGTTACAATTCCTGCCTCACTGCGTGCAAAGCGGTCCAGCTTGCACCCTTCATGCCTATCTGCCACCGCTCTTGTCATGCAGCAAGACATACTCGCGGCTGGAGTTCCCCGTCCGGATCATGTCCTGCTCCAGAAGCTCATAGAAGCGCTTGTCATCCAGGCGCTCGCCATTCAGAAATGTGCCGTTGGTGGACCCCAGGTCCATGAGATAGGGGCGCACCGCAGCCACCATCATGCCATCAGCGCCCTCCTTCTCCGTTCGCCTGGTAATCGTGGTCATGGAGGCTTTGTAAGGAATTATGTTGAGGATCGCGACATGCCACCCGTCAAGAAGCGGAGTCCATCCACTGGAATTCACCCTCCTTTCTCCCGCTCATGTATCTGGCTTGGAAATGATTCAAGAGCAGCCCTTACATCGGCCCTGGATCCACACGGTGCACCATGCAGCAAAAACCTATCCCTTCACCTGTACTGCAGCACACAGTGCTGCTTGGAGCAGGAAGGGTGGTCCGTGGGAATGTCGACCACCGTCCTGTCACGTCCAAAGAGGTAGCTGCTCTGCCTGAACGCAGGGTGATGAGAAACACCATGTTGATCGTGTTCTGGCTCAGGCTGTGCCAAGTCAAATCTGAAAGTTTGAAGCTATTGGGGACACTCCTGGTCCAAAGACTGCCTTGGCAGCTTCCACTCATGCCAGCCCTCCCTGGGCACAGCTCACGATGCCGCCCCAGCCGGACAGCCACCAGCAGCATGCGATGCAACCACACCTGTGAAGAAAGAGGGGCTTCCCATGTGGCTCCCCGCTCTTGAAGGTGTATAGCCTCCACTGTTGTGTGGGCATCGAGGCCTCGGGTGGCTCCTGATAGAGTAGTACCACACCGCTGTGGAGTTGGTCATGGGTGGAAGGGAATCAGGGATGCGCCCAACGGGGTGCAAGGCGGAGCAATGCCCAATCACTGCCAACATGGCGCAATGCAGCAACTCAGCGGGATCCGCCCTGCCACATAGACACTCCTAGAAAGGCATGCCCCCGCACTTGACAGTGTTGGTCTCGGCTGCCAGTGCTCCCGACAAACCGAAATCCGGCTTCACTTCCTTGTCTGGCAGCTCCTCCTGCCAGAGTGCAGAATGTGGTGTCAAGTGGCCTGGCATCTAATCACTGGGGGATGCACCGGGTAAGCACTGGGCTGCTGCAGAGGGCGGTGCCATCAGCACGGATTTTGTAGATCCAGCTCTACTCGTCTCAAGGTTGCAAGAATGTGGCAAATATCAGGGTGAAACTCACTGCATTCGTGAGACCCAAAGCCACCTCGGAACTTTCGCTCTGTAGCATACCTGAATCTCCCCTGGCCTGCCCCAGGACATGCCATTCCCGTCGCCCTCACCGCCCTCCCGCCGCCCACGGCCTCTGGCACCCCCCGGCGGCGCGCTGGGACACTCTCTGGCCCAGTGTCCTTCCTCCCCGCATCTATGGCAGGCCCCTCTGGGAGCAAAGGAGCCGCTCTGGTGACTGGACCTATGGATGATCAGAGTGTCTCGGGATCATGCTGCCGGGCGGTGGGCAGGTTGCAGAGGAACAGGCCGAGAGCAATGACAGCAAGCACCAAGGAGGTCTGCTCACCCTGCAATGTCTGCGTCGTCCCGCCGCCGCCTGTCTCGAGGCTGGGAGGGTTGCGGACCCCACCGCCCCTCCCTGCTGCCCCCTGCTCTGTCAGGCGACCTGCTCCCCTCCTGCCACTGGCGCCGTACTGGAGAGCGACTGGGCCGCCTCTTGTCCGATGAGTCCCTGTGACGTCTCCTGTCCCGCGATCTGCTGCGATCTGCGGGGGGGGGGGAGCGACTGCGTCGCCTGGCCTCTCGGGACCTGCTCCTTCGTCGGCGCCCTGGGCTCAGAGACCTGCAAGGCAAGGAATCCACAGAGCAACTCAGCGAGATGTGCAGTAATGCATCCCGGGGCGTTCATTTTACGGTGCACACCTGTCTCTGTAGCCCATGGTGCGTTGTCGGTCGGTTAACCGGTCAGGGATGTCACTATCTGAACACCTTTCTCCGAAACTGTTCAGCCACTTATTTCGTACAAGGAGTTCGTGAAGTATTGCAACGATATTATCATCTAGTTTCGACACGTTGAGACGTATGCATGTCAGGATCGCCACCCCACATGCCTCTCCACTGTCGCGCACGGCCCTGTGTCCGGAGCTTAGTCTGAGGAGTCTGACCACCTGGTGGTCAGCTGCCTAAGGATCCGGGTCATTCAACAGTCGAGGGCAAGAGCACCACATGCAAGCTGCGCAACACGTTTTGTACAGTGGCCGACGAAATTTACCCTGACCGGCCTGCTGGCAGGGCTGGGGCGGCGTCTGGTCCGCCGCCGATCAGCCGCTGGATGCCCCTCGACAATCGAGATCCCAGCACCGACAGAGGCGTGGCAGCACCGCCATTGACTCCATTCCTGTGCGGGGGCGATTGGGGAAGGCAATTCTGATGCGGTTCTGATGAGCACATGTGTATGCGGCATCGTTACTGACCCATGCCATCCTCATGCTGGGTGGATTCAACGGATTTGGGTGGCAGAGACAACCCTCTCCCAGCGTTTCCACTGCAGCTACCTTGTCCTATCCACAGCCGCCACCAGCTCCGGCAAGTCCACTGCATCGGCATCCCGGCGCGCAGCCAGGAACGCCGCCTCGTTCACCACGTTCATCAGCTCAGCGCCGCTCATGCCTGGCATTGGCGGTGCAAGGATGTGGTAGATAGAGTTATGTGCGACGCACAACTCCACGCGTTTGCCACTCCCAGACCACATGGCTGTCCAGACTGATGCACCAAGGCCCAGAACAACTTTGCCAAACTCAAGCTTCTGGAATCACCTCCTCCCACCTGGGGTGAGCCGTGCGATCGCACGGCACATGGCACTCTGCATCTCAGGACTGCCTGCCAGCTTCACCGTCCTGAGGTGGACCGCCAAGATCGCCGCCCGTCCGGTGGCGTCGGGGAGGGGCACCGTGATCTGTGAAGAGGAGAGGGGCGCCGGCGTCATTGCACGTACTTGCGGATGGGCAGAGGAGTGGCGTGAGGAGCGGAGCGTTCAACGCTGCGTTTAAACTATCCAGCCTCTACCTTGCGTGAGAGGCGGCCAGGTCTGAGGAGGGCGGGGTCCAGTGACTCCGGGCGATTGGTGGCGGCCAGGAGGAGCACGCCCGGCCTTCCATCAAAGCCGTCTAGCTCTGTTGCAAAGGATCAGAGGGGGTAGCTGTCGGTGTGACACCATGTCGGCGTGGTCCCTAACAAGCTGCATCAGGCGGGGAAGGGCATTGCGCTGTCGACACCCTCTGGGCATCCACGATCTCTGCTACTTGCAATCACACGACGAGTTCAGAGTCAGATGCTGTGTCCACAGGCGCTACCTCACTCCACCACTCCCCATCACCCCATGCCTGTGAGCAGCTGGTTCAAGGTCTGCTCCCGCTCATCGTTCATGCCCATGCCGCGCCGCCCACCTGTGGCAGTAGTGTTCCATGTGGTGGGTGCACAAACGGGGGAATCACGCACGAGCCATGGCCTGCCCGTTCATTGGGCATCCCAGGCGAGCCAGGCCTCCCGCAGGCAGTCGCCATGCGCCAACACCAGCCCCACAACTCACCCACAGCATCCAGCTCGTCAATGAACACGACGCAGGGCGCCTTCTTCCGTGCCTCGGAGAACAGCTCCCTGTCGTGTAAGAGCAGAAATGTTGGTGCGCCTACGACCCACACCGCGCTCACCCCGCAGTACTATGAATATCGTCCAAGGGCGCCAAGACCATCCTCCCCCTCTTTCACAGTACCTGATGCGTGCCGCCCCTCGTCCCACAAACAGCTCCACGAACTCGGAGGCAGAGACCACGAAGAAGGGCACGCCCGCCTCCCCCGCCACGGCCCTTGCTGCGTTGCGGCATGAGGGCCAGGAGCATGTGATGTCAGATACTGCTGTCGGGAATAATTGGCGCCAGACCCGGGGAATGATGTAGCTCATGCCGGCCCCGGGTCATGGGGAGGCATGAGGTAACCGCAAGCGCATGCACATGCGTCGACAAGGGCAGGCACGAGAATATGTGGACCCTTCACCACCACTCACCTCGCCCGCCGCATCGGCCCCAGCATCTGGACGCAAGCTGCACGGACCCCCCACCCTTCCCCCCTCCCCCATTCTCTCCCTTCTAGGCACCACCCAAGTCTCACCCAGCAGGGTCTTCCCCGTGCCGGGCGGCCCGCAGAGCAGCACGCCCGAGGGCAGCTTGGCGCCCAGCGCCGCAAAGCGCCCCGCGTCCTTGAGGCAGGACACCACCTCCTGCAGCTCCTGCTTGGCCGCGTCCACGCCCGCCACGTCCTCGAAGGTCGCGGAGGAGAGCGCGGCGCCCTTGCTGGGCGTGCGGCTCTGCTTGCCGCGCTGGTTGCCGCCCAGCGCGCGGCGGCCGATGAAGTACAGCGGGACGAGGGGCAGCCAGAGCGCCAGCGCCGTGGTCAGCGCCCGCGTGGCCACGGAGGACAGCGTCTTCTGCATGGCGCCAAACCGGACCCCGGCCTTAAGCAGGATGGGGATCAGCTCGTGGCTCGCCACCTGCTTGGTGTAGCACGGCACCGGGACGGCTGGGGCGGCATCTGCGAATTGGATCAGGGGGGGGAAGAAAGGGTTTGTGTGGGTGTGCGAGCTGGTGCTGGGCGGGAGGGCCCGGGCGCAGGTTGGCACACGAGAAGGATGCGCATCAGGGGCGGTGGGGCGGCCTAATTGATGGGCGCAGACGCGTCACTGATCTACCTCTCGAAACCCTCTGGCATCACCCCTCCCGGCATGACGACAGCCCCGCCCTCCTCATCTC